CCACCCAAGCTGATCCTACACCATTTCTAACAGATGGCAGTCCAGTCTCTTCTTGAAAGCTTCCAGTGATGAAGTTCGAACAGCTTCTGAAGGCAACTTCTGTTCCATTGGTTGATTGCTCTCGCTGTCAGAAAATTTCTCCTTATTTCCAGCTTGAATCGCTCCTTGTTCCATCCATTATTCCTTGTCTGGCCTTCAGGTGCCTTGGAAAAGAGTTTGACCCCTTCCTCTCTGTGGCAGCCCCTCAAATATTGGAACACTATCATGTGTCCCCTGATCCTTCTCATCCCTAGACTAGCCATGCCTAGTTCCTGTAACCGTTCTTCATATGTTTTAGTCTCCAGTCCCCTCATCATCCTGGTTGCTCTTCTCTGAACTCTTTTCTAGAGTCTCAACATCTTTTTATAATGTGGTGACCAAAACAGGATGCAGTATTCTAGGTGTGGTCTTACTAAGGCTTTATAGAGTGATGGTAGTACCTCCCTTGATCTTAATTGTATCCCTCTGTTAATGCATTTTAGGATTGCATTGGCTTTTTTGGCTGCCACTGCACACTGTTGGCTCATATCTAAGACTCCAAGATCCCTCTCACAGTTTAGGCCTGATTTCACCCAATCTATATGTGTATTTTTGGTTTTTCTTGCCTAAGTGTAAGACTTTACTTTTCTCTACAGTCAATTTCATTTCGTTCGATAAGACCCAGTGTTCAGAACAGAATAGAATATATCTTTATTACGGTCATAGACCAGCAATAGACATCACTTTTTACACTATATTAAAAAAATAGTACTGACATGAATAGTGGATAATAACATCTCTATTAAGAAATGTTCTCTTCGCTTCTCAGCCTTTTGGCTAAGATCAAGTGCAAAGGACCCAGTGTTCAAGTCTACCAAGATCCATCTGGATCTTGAGCCTGTCTTCTAGGGTGTTAGCTATTCCTGCCAGCTTAGTATCATCTGCAAATTTGGTAAGTTCCCCTTTTATTCCCTCATCTAAGTAGGCCTCAGATATTAGGGCAGATTTGTATGGGGGTGTTCTGACCTAGGCTTCCCAAGTGCATGAACCAACTCTTTGTCCCAACAAAAAACCTTTTATTAATTTACTGCGGATTCTGTTCATTCACATCCAGCAAAGTCTTTCAAGGGAGGATTTACAGTCACAGACCTTATCTGGACTGGAGAGCTGCCAGGCCAATATCTGCAAAGGTTTGCAAGGAGTCTTGGAGAGTCACAAACCAATTAAGCGAACTAATTGTCTCCTGCAAACTCCACTCCCCCTTCCCTCCTCTTTTATTTCCTCTGGGAGGGGCCATTCATCATCCACCTGTGACCTTACTCCCAAATCGACCCCTGTTCTTTAGCTGTTCCCTTCGTCTGGCAACTCTGTGCATGCGCGCACTGGGAACAGGCTCCAGCTGTTTGTCTGCCTCACAGATGTCTGACTCCAAAGGCAGCTGTTAACTGGCATACAGCCCTGGCCCCATCTTTGCCTCTGACACAGAGGCCTCATCAGAGCCTTCCCCAAACTTCACAATTGGCCCATGTTCCTCCCCAACCTCCTCACTGTCTGAATCTGCTGCCAACCCTGCTGGCTGCTGACGGGCCACAACAGGGGGTCCTGTAGCTTTCAGAGATGTAGGTAAAACATTCAGAATGACCCCTTCAGCACAGAGTGGTGTGTCTACAAACAAGCAAAAGTTATTACCCTGCTGCTCACCAAGCCTTAGTTTCTCATGATACTCACCCATCTTACCAAATAACAAAGTAAATAACCTGATGAGCGTGTTTCAAAATCACATTACACAGAGAGGTGTTCAATTGCATTCCTGGTTGAGGCACAAGATATGTATGCATTACATGTGCGCTGCCTTCAATGCCTAAATGAAAAGTGACAATTGTGCTTCATGCTCGCTAAAAGTCCCAGCAGCAGGTGCTGAACACAAAAAGGATCGGCTAAATTATCTAAAATGGGGGGGGGGGGTTGGGGGGTTTGCTGCCAAAACTACTGTTTCACTAGAGCACGGTGAGGTTGTCCAGTATGCTGCTATTTAGTGACCCAGAACAATCACTCATTTCCCAGCACGGAGCTAATTCATTTGCAAGATTGAAAAAAAGAACAGGGGGGAGAGGGGGGAGGGAGAGAGAAAAGAAAGAAGGCATTTCTGCACATGCCCATAATATTCTTCACCACTGGGGGCAGCTTTACATAAGAACTGCATTTACCAAAACCAAAGCAACAGTCAGAGAAGCTTTCAGAGTGACAGGATGCAGAAGTGAACAGTGCTTGTTCATTGTACCGGGTCATCCTGGCTTCCCTGCTTCAACGCAGCAGCTTCCTCAGCCGGATTGTGGGTGCAAGGCTCTGAGAGCTGCTGCTCAGTGGAATACAGATGGGTGAATCCAGACAGCCGGGCGTCACTTGGAGGAACCTCTCAAGCTTTGCACGGGGTGGTTTTTAAAGAAGCCGAGTCTACCATGTAAAGCTTCCAGACCACATCACCCATGAAGACCCCATCGGCTAGGAAGAGCTTGACTTTCTGCTGCAAATGCTGGGTTGGGATTTATTTGCTCCTGGGATCTTCTGCATGCCTGGCAAAGGATAATGATCCAAAATCGGTCCATTTCCCAGGAGGTCCCATTTTGCTTCCTGGGTCTCTGCAAGCCTTGACTCACCAAAGAACAGCTGGCAGGGGCTGTCATGTTTGTGGCCCCTAGGAAAAAGCAAAAGCGCTAAGGACGACCTTTGAAAAGACAAAGGATGGGTATGTTTCCATTTTATTCCTTTCTAGTAAGCCTACAGCAGTCTCTGCAATGCTTCTGTATTAATCACTCCGTAGATTGGCCTCTGTACAAGCTACGACTGGAGATAACATTTCAGTGTGTTTGGCCAGTCTGCCTGGCTTACGCCGGTCCTTTCTCTTTTATTAGATTTGTAGCCTTAAAATAGGACAGGGGTGGGTGGGTTATTGGGAGAGGGAGTAAAAAAAAACTGTTTGCAAAGTACTTCTTCTACAGGGAGGTTGTTCCTTTTTATTGTAGTAGCATTTCTGAGCATGACTGACAAATATTTGGACTGTTTTTTTTGGGGGGATAACTTTTCTAAGTTATTTCTATTTCCAGGTTTCCATGTATTTAGGCTACTGAGCGGATCAGCAGTAGCCCTGGTAATAGCTCCCACTGTGTTACTGACAATGCTTTCGTCTGCTGAGCGAGGATGCCCTAAGGGCTGTAGGTGCGAAGGCAAAATGGTATATTGTGAGTCCCAGAAATTGCAAGAGATACCCTCCAGTATATCAGCTGGTTGTTTAGGTTTGTCCTTGCGATATAACAGCCTTCAGAAACTAAAATACAACCAATTCAAAGGTCTTAATCAACTCACCTGGCTCTACTTAGACCACAATCATATTGGCAGCATCGATGAAAATGCTTTCAATGGAATACGCAGACTGAAAGAGTTGATTCTGAGTTCCAACAGAATTGCCTTTTTTCTTAACAACACCTTCAGACCAGTAACAAACCTCCGAAATTTGGATCTCTCCTATAATCAGCTGCATTCCCTGGGAGCAGAACAATTCAGAGGCTTAAGGAAGCTGCTGAGTTTACACCTGAGGTCCAATTCCTTGAGAACGATCCCCGTCCGGATTTTCCAGGACTGTAGGAACCTGGAACTCTTAGACCTGGGTTACAACAGGATCCGAAGCCTTGCAAGGAATGTCTTTGCTGGCATGATCAGACTGAAAGAGCTGCACCTGGAGCACAATCAATTTTCTAAGCTTAACTTGGCACTTTTTCCAAGGCTGGTCAGCCTACAGAACCTTTATTTACAGTGGAATAAAATCAGTGTTATAGGACAAACCATGTCTTGGACTTGGAGCTCGTTACAAAGGCTTGATTTATCGGGAAATGAAATAGAAGCTTTCAGTGGACCAAGCGTTTTCCAGTGTGTGCCCAATTTGCAACGCCTCAACCTGGATTCCAACAAGCTCACATTTATTGGCCAAGAGATTTTGGATTCCTGGATATCTCTGAACGACATCAGCCTCGCTGGGAATATATGGGAATGCAGCAGAAACATTTGTTCCCTGGTAAACTGGCTTAAAAGTTTCAAAGGGCTGAGGGAAAATACAATTATTTGCGCCAGCCCCAAAGAGCTGCAAGGGGTGAATGTTATAGATGCCGTGAAAAATTATAGCATCTGTGGCAAAAGTACTACAGAGAGGTTTGACATGCCACAGGCTGCTCCCAAGCCCACCTTTAAACCAAAGGTCATTCGGCCTAAGCATGACAGCCAGCCCCCCCTGCCCCCCACCACAGAGATCCCCAAGGCCAGTGCCGGGCCCGAGAACAGCACCGAGCAGATCTCCTTCCATAAAATTATTGCTGGGAGCGTGGCCCTCTTCTTGTCCGTGCTTGTGATTCTGCTGGTCATCTACGTGTCCTGGAAGCGCTACCCTGCCAGCATGAAGCAACTGCAGCAACGCTCGCTAATGCGACGGCACAGGAAGAAGAAACGACAGTCGCTGAAGCAGATGACTCCAACCACCCAGGAATTTTATGTTGACTATAAGCCCACCAACAGTGAGACCAGCGAGATGTTGCTGAATGGGACGGGACCTTGTACGTATAGCAAGGGAGGCTCCAGAGAATGTGAGGTAAGAACCACTCTTGTATTTTCAAATACTGTTTGGGTTGAACTTCTTTCACTTTTCAGCTACATACCTGTCATATCAGGTGTCCTCCTGTCAGTGCAGGCCAGTCTTTTCTTTACGCCTTTTAAAAAAAGCTTTCCTCCTTTCACAAGGAACCATGTAAAGTCTGAGCTCAGGTTTACCCAGCCTCTATTGTGTAGCCACTTTACTTGTTTTATCTGTTTGATTGTTTTACCCACTGACAGAAAAGTTTTCTTGCACATCCAAAACAGCTGCAGTGCTGGTTTTTCTCATTCAAACATGGAAGGGTCTCTTCCCTAGGCAACATGTTTGCATGCAAAGATAAGGAATGGGGAAGAACGGTGCAGAAGTAAACAGAATGCCAAAATTCACCACATGCTTCAAGGGCGATCTAAAATGCCAGGTGTGCTGTTAGCTTCATATACATTCCAGGACTTGATTTGGCTTAGGATGGTGCAGGCAGAACCCTAGGAGAATGCTTGATTTCTATCTAGTGCATCTAAAGCGTCTAAAAGCCTGGTATTAAAGCAGCCTCCAGAGCTATCCAGGGTGGAGGAAAGCAAAGGAGGCTAAATAAAGGGGTGGGTGGGAATCACACCTTTCATAAGGAATCAAAGAAGGGGTGGAACAGGGTGAGATTCACTGTGCAGCTCTTATCACAGTACAGTTTGCAGAACTCATCACTTCTAATTGAAAACTATCTGTGTGATTTTAAATAAAAAAATGCTAGCTTAGAGTGTCTCCCTTCTCCTTTCAGAAAATAGTCAAAAGGCATTCATTAAACAAGGGCTCCAAAAAATCCTTACTGATGCAATTAGAGGAGCTGAAAATGTACAGTTGCAAAGGCTAGAGCCACTTCCGGCATTGACTTGCTCAGTAGCTCATTAGATATTCTGTTTTCATCTGTGTCAAAGACATTAAGGTGATTGACGATGGAGTCCTTAAACCTGTCATTTTTCTTCCTTCAAAAAAATGCAACATTGTCTTCAGTGGTTTCAATTATGCCATGTGCCGTTTTGGGCATTTTAGAAAGCTGAATGGGGCTACATTTTAAATACAGCACAGCAACAGGGAGAAGCTAGCAGGGAAACTGGGACGTTTGCCAATCTAAGGGAAAACACATCTGAAGAATTCTCTTTAGGAAAAGTCAATGAATCGATAGGCAAAGCATAGGAGGAAAGGATCAATCAGTGCTGAATTATATTTTATAGACATGTTTTATTTATCTTTTAATGTATTGGTGATGGGAATCCTGATGGGCACTGATAATTCAGGGCATCCACCTCAAATTGTTCTGAGAATGAAAAAAGGGCACTGATGTCTCCTCTTGATATTTTCTTACAAATTACTGCCAATGAGTCCCTTGCAGAGATAGTTTTATTTGTTTATAATAGGTGGTAAAGAACTTTGCTACTTCTATTGCATAACTTGATTTAGCTTTGTATGCTGCCCATTTCTGACCACTTGGGAGAGAGAGGGGGGTGGGTTCTATAAAGCAGATGTACTGCAGCAATTTGGAAAAAAGCATCCATATTCTCTCGCCATCCCTGATTTTCTGAGGGGGTGGATAAATAAAATCACCCCAAAATGTTCCAGCAATGTGAGCACGTCTACCTTAATATGACTTTCAGGTAATAAAATGGCATTTTAAAAAAAATGAGAAAGAAGTGGAAAGGAAGCAAATCTGCTTCATAATATGGAACATACATTCGTTGAAAGCTGAGAATCAAATAATTCAGCCAAATTGACCAAATATGCATAGATTACTTTATACAACACATGTTTTCTAATACTTTATAGCCTTTCTGAAATAGATACTACATGACCATAAAGATGTATACTGTGTGCCATCAAAGGACTAACATGTAACTAAATGTATATATATATCCACCTTGGCTTGCTGAAAAAATATTGAACCCTAAAGATATCTATATACCCTGTATATGGTTATTGGTTATACCACTAGTTGTTTATATTTAAAATGTAAAATAATAATAATAATAATAATACTATCAAGAATGATGCACTAAAAATGTTCAGCTAGCTTCTGACCCTTAATTTTAATTAATTGCATACTTCAGCATGCTTGGCAGAGACCATTTTGATATGAAAACATGGCAATATTTTTTTCCAAGTCTTCATGTTTTCCATTATGCTGAAAACCAAATGTGGGGAGGGAATTTGAATATAGTATATTTTTGAAGAAAACACCTTCAAAATAGGCCTGTAGTCTCCTATGCAGAAAACCCAAGAGTAGAATAATGTGCCATTTGAGAAGTTGTCGGAGGTGGGAGGGATTTTTTAAAAGAAAACTGATAAGAATATTGATGTTTGACAAATGTCAAAAAGTGGCATATTGATGTTAATGGCTCCTCATCCTAACAAGGCAGAATTAATATGAGAAAAATAATATCCGGGCATGTAGAAAGTCAATTAACTGTATTTTCACTGGAAGGACCTCTTGTGTTTAGATATGCAGATGAGTGTACTATTATGGCTACAGTTCTCTACTGGCTGATTGTGCAGCTTGCACCAAATCGTGCCAATAACCTCGATCTACAGAATTATTAAAACAAGCAACATTTAATAAAATTCGATCCAGGTGCTGAAAACCAAAAATAATGCTTTAATTCATTATTTTTTATAAAAAGGCAAAAAGTAGCCAATGGTTTTCCATACTGTGTCTTGCCAAGATGAACACAGCTCCCTTTCACACAGCTTTCATAGTGGGCAGCAGAAGGGATTCTGGCAGGTAACAGCTTGACACAGGGAGAGGGAGAACTGCAGCTCCAATCCTCTTATGTCGAGCTAAGTAATACTTGGGAATCTTGAACTGTTTTGCACAATATCACCAGTGTTGGGTTTTACATTTTGTTACCACTGGTTCGCCCCACGTGCGCACCTTCTGTGCATATCCCTGGCCTTCCACGCATGCACTTTGTTTGCACGTGTGCCTTCCGTGCATGCGCCTGGCCTCAAAAACATGCCTAAATAGGGCCAGGGCAGGAGGGCAGGCCTACCCGCTATTTCCGCTACCAGTTCAGGTGAACCAGTCCGAACCGGCTGCATACCACCTCTGAATATCAACCTATGTTTATTAAAATGGAATTAACGTTCTCCTGCCTCATTAATGGGGATGATGGACACACAGCTGTGCTATATCTTGGGGGATCCAAACATTACTCCAAAGCCATTCTTTCCTCATGGGAAAAACTGGCCCAGTAAAAGATTGCAAAATCACAAATATGGCAGCAAAGGTAAATGCATTTTTCTTGACATACTAACGCAGTGATTTCTGCACATGTATCTATATTTATGAAGATACACCTACACAAGGTATGTTATTATATATATTGTTAATGGGAGGAGAAAAGATTAAGATACAGCAATTTCCCAACCTTGTTGACTTTAACGGTTCCACCACAAAACCGTGGTAGACTAAAGCGCGCTCGACGAAAGCGCGTACGTGACGTCATCACAGCGCGACAAAAACAGCACGCTGTGAGCGGTAAACTTAAAATTAACGCGTAAATCTAAACCTAACCCCCCCAAACCTAACCCTAAACCTAACCCTAAGCCTAACCCTTAACCTAACCCTATACCTAACCCTATACCTAACCCTTAACCTAACGCTAAACCTAACGCTAACCCTTAACCTAACCCTAAACCTAACCCTAACGCTTAACATAACCCTAAACCTAACCCTAACCCTTAACCTAACCTTAACCCTAAACCTAACCCTAACCCTTACCTTTATGTGAATCGGCTTGCTTTAAAAGCGCTTTTTAAAGCGCCCTTTTTTCTCCGCGGTCGTATTTGTCGCGCTGCTGATGACGTCAGGTACGCGCTTTAATCGGGCGCGCTTTAGTGGACCGCGGTTTTGATGGGTCACGGACTTTAACACTAGTAGAGTTCAACTCCCAGAATTCCCCAGCAAGGTTTTCTGGCTGAGGAATTCTGGGATTGAAGTCCACACATTTTAAAGTCACCAAGGTTGAGAAACACTAGAATAATTTTCATAACAAACTCTAGCTACTACATTCATTAAGATGAAGCAAACAAATGGAAAGTTTTTAAAGGAGACTAGAACTAATAAGATCAGAAGAGAAAGAAAATTATAACCAGATATAAATCTATTTCAAAGTCTTCAAGGTATCAATTCCCAGGTAAGGACAAAACTTACACACAACTCATTATCAATCTGGAATTAATACAGACCTGCCATTCATCCATCAACTTTGAAAATTAAAGGGTAATTGGTTAGAGCCAATACTTCTTGGATTAATAAAGTCTATTATGGGCTATACCGAGGGGTTTTCCTCATCCCACTCACTGTATAAGTGCAAAAATCCTTCATGAAGATAATTGGCCATTGCCGCAATCATTTATTTTCTCCTTTGCAATATAATAAAGCTGAAATGGGGAGGGAAATCACTTCCAAGTGGGCAAAACTACAAACTAAATTGGAGTAAATAGTATTAGCAAGGAGAATTCATGGAAACACATCATATATGTTTGCCAAGAAGAAGAGAACTGGAAATGTGCTTGAGAAAAGACTATGAAAGCAGAGATATGGCATGAAAGACAGAAGTAGGAGACATGACGCAAAGACAAAGTACTTAATAGAAAGCAAGAACATCATATTTTTAAAAATTACCTGTGTTGACACACATAAACATGGAATACAACCTTAATCACATAGTTGCAGCTCCCATGTTGATTTTTTTTATCCCCTCCCCTCTTCCCATATCCTTGACTTATCTATTTTAAACTAGAGCAGCTTGTAACTAATTCAAGGACAACATAAAATAGAAAGTAAGGAAGATGGCCTTGACAGAAATATGGAAGAATAATTCTTGTCTAGGTAAAAAGGGCTTATTTTTTTAAGTCCTGACAAACAAGTTAAAATTCAGAAGTGACATTGACAGACATTTCTTTTACTAGGGTGTAAGAAGGAGGAGGAGACATGGTACAGTTAGCTT